ATATATATATATATATATATATATATATATGTATATATATATATATGCAAAACAGTCATCAAGTAAGAATTAGTTATAATATCTAGTCTATTTGTATTTGGAAAAATTAGAGAAAATATTCTATTATCTATTACCGATCTTATCTTGCTAGTCTTAAGTTTTATATCTAATTTGTCTTTTATCATAGCTGCAGAAAACTTTGAGTCTAATTATTTAGTATTTAACTCCATCAAAGACAACAGAATGATGTAATATTATCTAATAACAGGGCATCTGGCTACTTGGATATCTGTGACCAGACTTTGGTCTTCATTTGCAGGTGGGGTTTCCTGTATTCTCACTCAGCACTGTCCCATCAGCCAGCTCCCAAATAACCACACAGAATCTTATTATTAATTGCAAATGCTTGGTCAATTGCTTAGGTTTATTACTAACCAGCTATTACATCTTAAATTAAACCATATTTCTTATCTAGCCTCTACCATGCAGCAGTGCCATTTCATCATCGTGGCATATTTATCTCCTGCTTCCTCTGTACCTCCTGGTTGCTCCAGAGACTTCTTCCCAGCATCCTCTTGGTTTTCCTCTCCCGGCTAACCTCTTCCTACCTACCTATTGGTCAGTCATCTCTTTATTAGCAATGAAAGCAACTCATCTTCATGGTGTCTTAAGGATTATTCTACAGCAGACCAGGGATCAACTATGTTCCTGAATTAACTTAACAAGGATGCCCTATGGTCACTTTCTTCTGGGCTCTCCATTTTCAATGTGGGTAGTATCTATTGGTGCCTTTAAACATTTTTCTTTTGTTAACCATGAATATTTTAATGAAATCAAATGGGAGACATAGGAAATATTTAATACTCAAGGCCCTACTGGGGTATGTATCTTGGTTCCTTTTTTCCCCTTCACCCTTTGTAGACAGCCACACCATCTGAATGCCACCTCTTTTATGCAGATAGATCTCTTTATTAAGTTTCAGATAGCTGTATCCCAGGATGTTGGACACTGTCCCCGGCACAGGGCTTGTCTTCTATGGTTGTTGAAGGAGTTTCATTTTTTTCTTAATCCAAGGTATAAAGCTTGAGATTCTGGTGAAAACCCGTGGAGGTTTCTTGGTACAAAGTTGATGACTGACAATGCCCTGGGCCACACCATTACACACAAATGGTCCCCCAGAATCTCCCTGTGGACAGAAAAATGAGAAGTCTTAGTAAATATCATCCCCTGTTGCCAGACTCATTTTCTCTCTGATCTTCTCTGTTCCCACTAGGGCCTGGGTTTTCAGATGGAAAGGCTAACTGCCATCATTGACCTGGGTCCAAGATGGGAAGGAGGTCAATGAACTCTGTGACTCTCTACCTAGAGTGTCTGAGCCTGATGTGTCTTTCTTCAGTCTCAGTAGACTCTAACTTTCCTATTTTCCCATGGTTAAAGTACATATTTGGCTGAGGGAAACTGGTGGATTCTTGTGGGTTGATCCCTCCATAAACTCTAGACTAGCAGCAGTTGCACAGTGGGAGAAGCCTTGACTCTGTCTGCATTATATCTCTGCCCCTGGAAAACATTTGAAGATGGCCATGTCCTTACCTTACCAGTAGCCTTCTTCTCCTTGGGATTTCCCACACAGAGCTGGATGGAATTGTTGTAGCTTTGGGACAGTTTTCGGCAAACATCACTTTCTTGGACTTCTAGCTTGACTTCCTGAAGTTTGTTAGGCAGAGTACAATTGGCCAGGTCTCCCCAGCCTGCTACTGTGCACACCTGCTTAGGTTTCACCAAATCCTGGCTCTTCGGAAGGTCAATGATGTTCACAGCTTTACTGAGTTGAGCTTGGCGTTCCAGCTGGTAACAAGGTTGAAGAAGAAAGATTCAGGTCTGGCACCTCAGTAAGCTTAAATCACAGATGGGGTTGACTATATTCCAAAAGTACAAACCCCCCAAAGACCTAATCTATTGCCCTGGGACCATAAACCAGTCACCCAGAGAGAGGATTGGACTGATACAATAGTAATCTGTGGAGTGCTCCAAAAAATCCAAAAAATGGTACCTTGAGTAGCATGATGTCATTGGCCTTTGTTTTACTATTATAGTTCTCGTGCTTGGTGGCATTAAGGACAGTGAGGATCTGGGTGTTTTTCAGTTTCTTGATATCATGAGCACCCAAGATTACACTTATATTCCTTTGAAAATAAAATGGATTAAGTACAACATGGGAACAATATATCATTCTCTGAAATGCAAGTGGAGGACTCAGCCTAAGCCTGAGTCAAATAGCAAGAAATTCATGAAGAAGGTTGTGTCTTAGGGCTTCAGAAGCATCTCCAGCCATTCAGATCCTTCACTGACAGCATCAGGTCCCCTGTCCCACAATCAGTTTAGGTCAAATTGGATAAAGGGAGTTTGATCTCACCTTAGTTCAATTTTGAAGGACAGATTGGATCTGTTCCTATTGGTCAGTCCCAGGCCACAAAGTCCCTGTTGCTTTTCCTTACCTTGCATAACAGTGAGCTGCTGTCATTACTATGTCTTTTGCCACCAGGAAACCACCACATCGAATTTTACCCGATTCGTTTCTATAAATCCTTAAGAATGCCATGTAGGGATGGGAGTGGGGTTTGGCCTCTGTACCCCACATTATTTCTCCTGAAAGAGAAAATTTGTTCTGAACCTCTGTGCTCATGGAAACTGTGCAACAAACCTGGTCTCTGGGATAAGGGCCAGGAGAACATGTGGATTTGACACGAAGAAGAGAACCTTTTGTAGTGCCTGTCACACACCAGGTAAATATCTCTGGCTTTGCGGATGATCATGCATGGCTTGTAGTATGATGTTACTTTTCCCCAAGTTTTAAGTTTCTTCTTGTATGAATGTTAGAACCACGTTTTCCCCCCTATACCACTGAAACCCCATGTAGCCATATAGGAAGAATTCAGCATACATTCTCCAGAAGACCTAGAATACATCAACCAGAAACAGATGCTTTCCCTGAAGTCCTGCTCACTTAGGCACTGGGCTGTGCCTGAGGTTAGCATGAAGTACTATTGGGATAGAAAACTCTGTCTTCCTCTTCTCTATTCTTATTAATGATACATAGCAAGGACACTACTCAGAAACAAGACTCTTGTACAAACCATGAAAATCCCTCAAGTGTGCTATGCCAGTAGCTGGGAGAGGAGTTCCTAATATAGTCTGAACCTCAGCATGGGATTGTCTTCCTAAGGCAATGAAATAGCCTTAGCACTTAGAAGGGAGAACACAGAGTTGTAGGGATCCTAGTGAGATGGGGAGATGGGTTGTAGGCTCCTATGTCAACCTGATTCCAACAACCTTTAGAGCAGTGATGAAGCCACACTTAGCTGGCCCTATTAGATTGTGGGGAGCTGTCATGGCAGACCTGTATGGCTCAGAAGAACATAGACAAGTCAGGTTGTTTAGGTCCCAATCCACATGTCAGTCAAGGGATAAAGCTGCCCACTCTTAGGTTTGGCCAAACAAAACCACAGCCTTCATTTTCAACTCTATCTTTCCTATAGGGTCCTATGATAGTTTTGTAATTCCTCTCTGTTAGTTGGTGAAGATCTGTCTTACTAAGTGCCATTACAAGTAGTTTGTTTTGATTTCAGAGCCCATTTAACCAGCGCTAGGCTGGGGCTCAGCAAACTTCTCAGATGAACTGAGTGAGGAGCAGACCATAGACAGAACCTGACTGGGACACTATGGAAGTGTCAGTGTGACACACACAAGAAACAAGGGAGGGGAATGGTTGCTTACCTCCTTCAGTGCTGACTGGCAGGACAGCCACCAGGATGCTCAGGAGCAGGAACATCTTCAGAGGTTCTGACCTGTTGTCAATTGTCACCTGTTTGTGCCTCACACTTTTAAACCTTTAGGTGTGGAAAGAGGGCCAGGGCTGTTGACCATTAATTTCCTGTGTGAGATTTAAGATCTGAGTTCTTTGCTGCATCTGTGTGGTGAGTGTGCAGGAAGCATCTTGTCAGTCAGTTACTGGTGAGCATGACCACATTCCCCACAGGAATGTTGGCCTCCTTGGAGGGAGGAAGAGCCTCCTGAGTCCTTCCACATAGAGCAGAGAGGGAGTCCCCTCCTGCCAGTGACCAGGGAATTGCAGTATGATGCCTCTGTGTCTTGAACTTGTGATCAGGTAATTATGTCCTTGAGACATCATCTCTACGTCCCCTATTACTCTCTTTGAGGTGCTTATTTCTATTTTTTCAAGAGCATGAAGACTTTTGTTCTAGGTTCAAAATTGTTCCTCTATGTCAATGCCCTAGGAAAAAGGCTCAGCCATTTATTCACATATTGAAGGTTTGGACACTACTGGGGGATGTGGGGAAGAGTAAAGATTTAGGATGAAGTGCCAGTGTGATGTTGATGACACTGTCAGCAGGAAATGACAGAATAGGGGAGCTTTTTTTATTTATCAGTTTTTATTGTTTTTTAAGTGTTTATTATTTTTAATTACTCATATTTACATATCCATCCCCCCATTCCCTCGCCCTCCGGTCCTCCCATGTTCCCCACCCAACCCACCCAAACCCACCCATGACTCTTCCCCAGGGACAGTGAGGCCCTCTACCAAGGACCATCAAAGTCTATCATATTGTTTGGGGGAGGGTCTAGACCCTCCTTGCTGTATCTGGGCTGCAATAGTATCCCTCCACAGGGAATGGACTCCCTAAGCCCATTTGTGCTCTGCTGTCAGAGGAGCCATAGACTGTCTTGGCCTCCTAGCTGGCACCCACATTCAGAAGGTTTGGTTTCATCCAATGCTGTTTCCCCAGCTTTATGACTTGGGTCTCCACAGAATAGGGGAGCTGTATGGAAAGGATTTGACAGACAAATACTTGGGACCCCATGCAGTCTATAAAGACATCTCAAATGTTTAAATCATCTCAACAGCAAAGTAGTTATTGTCAGGAAAGGAGAGATGAAGAGCAGAATCAGAGCTGTTCTCTTCCTGCAGCGGGTCTGCTCTTGTTCTTGTTCCACCCTCACTGGGCAGTCTGGTCCCCAGGGAACAGGGTGACATAGGCAAAGCTCTGCTTCTGCTGAGGAACCAGTTTCTGTCTCTCTGTCTCCCCTGAGAAAGCAGCTTCTCTGTCTCCCGTCCCTCCTGCAGTTTGTATATGCAGGTGCTTTCGAATGTGAAACCCAAGTGCATTTCCTCTCAGAACTCCAGAGTCCAGCTGACATTTGATTGTGCTTTTCTGGGCAATCTTGTCATTTAGTATAGACAGGGAGACCTCTGGTGTCAGCTGCATGTAGTCCCCAGCTGACTTTGCATCTTTCACAGCACAGCTGGAGTAGTCAGACATATCCTCATCTTCATTTCCCTCCAAGGGGATGTGGAAGGGATTAATTTTTTTGTTCCTCTGTTAATTTACATCCCCTCCCCTTCAATTTGCCAATGCTGAACACTTTCAGTAATGAAGAATGTCTCTCTGGTACCATATATTCTGTTAAAACAAAGTCCATGAGTGTGAACACCTAGAAAGTTAAAGATGCTCGATTATCAAGTTACTCCTGCCACAGCTGGTTATCATTTAGTTTCATCTGCTCCTGCTCTGTCACAATTCTGATTTCTTACATCTTGATAGTGCCATCACATTTTCCTGGTAGTTAAACGACTTTCGAGAGATTGGGACAGGCTCTTTGGCTGGTCTTCTGCCTCTCACTTGGTTGGAGTCCCATTATCTCAGAGCTTCTTGGACCAGTTTACATTGTCAAGTAGGCATACTGTGAGTGTTCCTAGTGCTCCCTGTGGCATTTGTCAGAGGTCACTGCTATTCTGTCCAATGGACGGACAATATGTGCATGGAATTGGACATTATTTGGGGAATAAAGTTTGTTTGCTGGTGTGAGTATTTGACTGATGAATGTGTAATTCCCTTAAGACTTTCAGAGTAGAAAGAGGGGAAACAAACAGGTCCTACCTTTTAATGGGGTAGTGTGTGTACGTGAGTGATAGGCCCAGAAGGCAATGAGAAAATGGGTCATATTTAAATGCAATAGTGCATATATATACAATGTATGTTAGTGATGGCGGGCTCAGAAGGCAATAACAAATGGTCCCAGATCAGGCATGAAAGTAATCCATAAACAATTGTCATATTTAATGGGACAAAATAAATCACCGAGGTGCTGCCATGAGGTCAGTGGACTCTAAGTAGGAGAACCTCAGACAAGTGTCTAGGCCATGCAAGCCCTTTCCACTTGTGTCTGCACTCATCCTCACCTTTCCTGCCCAGACCTTTCTGTAGATAATGCCTCTGGGTCCCTGTTTCCCACAACTTCTGTTTCTGTGCTATGATCACAGATAGCAATGTAGACCTGGGCACTGCTGGGCTGTGATGTCAGCCACAGTTGGAGCCTTCTTCCTGGGGCTGAAAAGCTGAAAGCTCCAGGGGAAGAGGACGACTCATCAATACTTTATCTGAACAGCCCATGGTGTCACCCACCTTCTCTAGGCAACTTCTTCTTCCATTAAAGATTTGGTCTTCTTATATTCTCAGTTTGTTCAAAATAAAAAAGTGCCATTGTTGCAAAATGTAGGAAACAGAAGTTTGATAGTTTTAGTTGTTTTACTAGTAGAGAGCAATGGCGTTCTGTAGACCCACCCCAGCCTTGTACAGCTCTCAGTACCACTCTTCCTAGATATTTTTCATCTCTATGGAAACACTGAACATGGATGATAATCCTGTCCTGTTGTTCCCCTTGTCTGCCTTGATTCGTGTCTCTGCTGATCTGTGAGAGCCTTTTGTACAAACACCAGCATGTAGAGCATGCTACTTCCTCATGCTTTATACATGGTTGTTACTTTGTTTACCAACCAGACTCTATTAGATAAGTTAGGACTATGTTGTGTCCTAGAAAACGGGCCGTGTAAAAACTAGAGTGAGAGCTTGGGAGGTGGTGAGGTGATGACAGAAAAGCCTGACTGAATTTTCTTTTCCATCTGGACACTAGGAGGAATCTCCCAGGAGGGAGTTTGCTCTTGTGTTCTTCTTAGGTTTTTAAGGCAGACTACAGGCTGTAGATTACCACAACTTCTGATGTTTTAGAAGAAAATTATAAGAAGCACCTTTTGTTTTTAGTCAGAAATGGATGTCATCACACTCATCTGAGAAAAAGCCTGAAGTCTTGAACAGACCTCTGTTCCTGTTTCTAAGGAATAAATATACCCAGTTAAGGTAATGTTCCTGCTGTGTTTGGGTAATTCTTCTGCCTCTTTTGTATGGAAGCCACTACTGGAAGCAAAAGGTATATGCAGTTGAGATATTTTTCGCTTTGCTTCCAGGAACCACACTCAAAGCCTGGAGTCTACTGAGCTGCTCATTGTGTCTGAGGATTGGAACCTTCCTCCCTGGTTTAGTTTTCTTTTTACCTGACCAGCCAACTCAGCTTGAGGTTGTGATAGGAGGTTCCAACTTAAGGTAAATTCCTCAAGAAAGGATCCTGGGAAATGAGTGGACTTCCAAGCATGTGAAGACAGCAGATGAAGAACTGGAGAGCAAGAGTTTGTTGTAGGGAAGAGCAGAGTGACACTGAAAGGATGGTGACTATGATAGCTGTCCCATAGTAAGGACTATCAGTCTGCCTAGTGGCACTTTCTCCTTTGCTTCCAGAGATGGGAGAGAAGAGGGCAACGATTCTTTGTGAACTGATGCTCTTTAGTGCAAAGAGTGCTGTAAAGAACCTCACAGACACTGTTAGATTTGATGCTGAGAATCTTCTGGGAGAATTCTTTGGTTCAGAGATGGCAAATGACACACCCTAGATATTCATTCAATTAAAGAGTCACACCAACACAGAAATCTTGTAGAAACATTTTACATAGCACTACCACTCTACTGGTGTATATGGATGTCTGAAATTCCCAGGGATGTAGGTTTCTAGTCAGTGGAAGGAGAAGGAATAAGTCAGTTGCTGTCACATGATACATCTTCTCCAGATACATACTTCAGCAGAGGAAGCATCAAGAAAATACTTAACTGGAGGAGCAACAGCTTAGAGTGCAGACCTGAGATTAACTGTGTTCCTGAATTAACTTAATAGATGCCATATGGTCACTTTCTGAGTCCTCCATTTTGATGGAGGTGTGTAGTGTCTATGGGTGCCTTTTAACATTTTTCTTTTGTTAACCATGAATATTTTAGTGAAATAAATGGGAGACATAGCAAATATTTAATATTCATGGTCCTACTACGGTAGGTATCTTGATTCTTTTGTTCCCCTTCACCCTTTATAGACAGCTCCACAATCACGTGAATGCCCTTGCACGTGACGGAATCTGAGTGTCAAATAACTGGTCAGGCAGGACAATCCTGTAGCTACCATTTGATGGGAAGTCCTGAAGATGTGGGAGCTGAAGCCTGAGACTCACAGTCAGCTGCTGCTGCTTCCTAGTAGTGTCCTCAGTACCAGGTGCTCAAGGCCTTTTGTGGTGAGGATACACCAGGAAGCTGTCTGTGGTAAAATGAACGGGAAGCTTGACTGGAGTCCACTTTGTTGGCATCCAAAAGGAAAGATGGGTGTTCAGAAGAGGCTAGTAATTAGTTCAAGTATTACTATAAAGTGGAACAAGCAGGTGGCAATATTTTAGTCTTCTGAAACCAAAGAAACATGGCATCGTATTTTATACATGTGAGGTCCATAATCTTTGAATATTTATGTTTTGAAGCAAACATCATATATACTTTGCATATTAAGATAACAAAACAAATATGCAACAAAACATAAATTTATAATAAGCACGAGAAAGATAATGAATTGCTGTATCATTTTGGAAAGAACTCTAAATTATATTTTTCACATGTCAAAGATTCAATTTGTTCTACAATTAATAACATAATGTCATGGAAAGTTACTGATTATTTTTAATAATTGCATTTACTTATACATAAAATAAAAGGAATTAGTTTGCAAAATATACAATTCCTGTCTGAAGCACTTATGCTGAAGTAGTAATATGTACATG